GACAGTGGAAGGAAACGGCCTCTTTAATGCTTTCACCACCACTATCCATGGAAAGAGACACAAGGAGCATCACTTCTGCATTTTGCTTTTTCTCAAGCATAATTGTCACAGTGATGGATGCATCAGAAACATACATAAACCAATTTCAGCATCGTGAGAGTAATGCTCTCCCACAGCCATGCAGCAAGCCAGTTGCTATGCTGGAAGCAGCACTCAGGTTCATAGGACCATTAGACAGAGCTCTCTTACTATAAAAGCCTGCAAATAAATGTAGGCTAAAATAAACAGCAAGTCAGATGTTTTATCTGGGGATGTTACCTCATTAAGGGCTATATATGCCAACTCCAATTCAATTTGAAGTAACCTTACGAGGGAAGACATCTCCCCCCCAACCGGAATTAGATCCACTTGATCATTTTAATTATACTGCATTGCTCTTTTCAAAAGAGTCCTGCGAGCCTTCATAGGCTGCTGTGCTCCCCTTTGAAATTAACAAATTAGGCTTGGTAATTAGAGAGTCAAAATGGTGTGTTATATTGTTTGGGGTGACAAGGGATTTAAGACTGTTTCATTTTAAGCTGTTTTCAAGGTTTGAAGGTAAAATACTATCACAAATCATGTATGTTCCCATTTTCCACCTACGCTGATTAATATCTACACAGTGCACTGAGATAAATTTCTTTGCATCTTAATTAATAACATTTCAAGGCAGATTCCTCAAAGTTCTGTTCTTTTTTTGAATAAAGCTGTAAATATCTTTTAAATGCTATTTACCATCACCACCAAAAAAAAAAAAAAAAAAGAAAAAAGAAAAGAGAAAAAAGAAAAAAGAAAAAAGAAAAAAGAAAAAAACAACCCACAAAGAAAAAGCTTCTAGGGTATAATAGTACATGCTAATTTATTCCAGAAATTATAAATTACTATTTTGTTCTCCTTAATGGACCTGTCATCAAATCTTAGGATGTCACAGAAGCCTGATAACATCAATTCAAGGATACAGCTGAGTCACCCTTCCTTCTGAGAATGGGCCTGTGCACTTGCTCATCGTCAAACAAAAACTTTAATAATTTACGTCTCAGTTTGCATTGCTTAACGTTATGCTTCCAACCCTGAATTCATTATTCTAAACCTCACTGCCTCTGCAGAAGGTCTGCTATGATGCATCACTTCAGGGACTGATGTCCATCCAGATTCACTGGACAACGCCAACATCAGATCTGAGCAATGTGTGCCAGAACTTGGGGAAGGTTGTCCTGAAAAGCCATGAGAGAACATTTATAGCACTGCATCTTTCATCTCAGACTCTCAAGTCTCTTTTCATGAAGAACAACTCATGGCTAGTTAATTACTTTTGTATAGTATACACTGATAAACATTTGGCAGTCTAGGTCACTGATTAGCGCACAAAAAAAAAAAGAATTGAAGAAGCCCTGATGCCTTGCCCACCATTGTTCTTCTACAGCAAGTAATGTACAGGTTATGTTTTGGTATTACAGAATTTTCAGCTGCATCAAATCTAGAGCTGACGTTTTATTCCCGTTTTCAGTGTTTGTTTTTCAGCAAATCCACTGGCTTTCTGACAGTTCTCAGAATAGATGCTATATAGCGGGATTTCTCACAAAAATTACAAAACCTGAAGTATAAGGTATTTTTATTCCATTCAAAGTTTTAAAGCACAGAGTATATAGACTTTCTTCCCCCGAAGTACTCTTCTAAGCTGGCATTTTGTAACAGTAGGTGAAAATGTCAGACAGAAGGAGGGAACTTTATTCCCATATATAGGATCAAAGAACATAAAACATAGGAGACAATGAAAAGAAAGCAAGCAAGAAAAAGGGGTATTAAAAGGGTATGATGAATGGCATATACATCCTTGTGATAATTCCTTTCCTGCTTTATTGCTCGGTAATGATCATACAATACTATACTTCATTGATCACTGCTTGAAATCTAAGCTTCATTTCCTTCACATACGTTAAACACCTTTGACTTGAATTCACTTCATGTAACTTTTCAGTACTTTCTTTTTAGTGTAAAGAGAAACCGAATATAAATACTGAATGAAGGAAAAAAAAAATCATTCTACATTATTGTTCTCTATCATCTACAGAGCTAGGAGATGTCTTTGAGGTTCAAACGTGTCAGTGGCAAAGCAGGGCACCACATCAAGGCACTCTATATATTAAGTGTGTGCCTCGGGCTAGTGATTGAAAACCCACTTTGACCACGAGCTGCAAAGACTGAATGCAGATTTCCCTGTAGCCAAATCATTCACTGTCTGGACAGGAAGGAGGGAAGCTCCCTTACGGTCACTCCTATGGGCAGTCAGACCTCAGGGGCAGGCCAGCGCCCGGGCTGGTCCCAGCAGCTGCTCCACATCCTCTTCTCTCACAGGGCTCACCACCAGATGAAGTCCCCCACAAGCAGTCCATGTACCTGCACTATGTACAGGCAACTGTGTGCAGACACTTATTACAGACCACTCCCTAATGCTTTTTGATTACACGTATGTTTTCAGATGCCAAATGGACAAATAAGGATGCTGGCAGCTCCCTTTACAGATAAACTCCAGCTGGATGGACATAATTTATGAGCAGTTCCTCACTGCATACACTTCCCTTTTAATCAACCGCTAATGGTCACTGCGGTGCTCCCCTTGGACAGCCCCATCTCCTGCTCACTGTGGAGCACAATGGCTCCAAACACAGGAAAGCATATAATGAATCAACACACCACTAACAGCTAATATTCTTTTGGCAGTTTATTCCTTTATTGTGATGAATTCTCTGTCACAAAAACATTGGGAGGGAAACTATATTAATTAAATAAAATAACGGAATATATTTTGCTTATGTTGCAGTTCCAACAGTCAGATTTACGTGACCTAACAAAGAGCAAGTATCTATAATCTTAGAATTAATATATATGTATATGAAAGAACAGATGCCACTTAAACCTCAAGTCCCTAAAAATCCTTTTCACTAAATTTCTATTCAGGACAAAAGGCAATGACCTTGGGCAAATCAATTCATCTTTTTGTGCCATAGATACTCAGCAGGGATAGTAATAATACAGCTTCCTACCTCCCAGGACTGTAGTAAGAAGAAATTTGCTGATGTTCATGAGGTCAGCACACTCCCTCTTAGGTCACACAGACTGACTCTGGTTTTTTTTGTACCATCAGAGTAGTACAACAACAACCCAACACCATGTAATTCTGAGCAGCAAGGCAACTATTTCTGCAGATTGTTTTATGCACTAAAAACCGTGAAATTCTTCAGACACCCGAATTCTCCATGTGACAATTTACACTAAGGGTGTATTATGGACTTTGCGGCTCATGACCACCAACCACCTAATAAGAGTTGAAAGAGTCAGGAAGTGCTAAGCCCATATCACATATTTATGTGTGAAAGATTTCAGTGTCCTTCAATTTTGAACATTACTGTCCAATACAAAGGAGTATATGGCTGGAAAATCCCATAAAATACTCCTTCTAGGAAGAGCACCAGTTGTGTGCAGCTTTTACATTCAAAGCACTGGTTCAGTTCATATGGGTGCCGGCAAAATGCATTGTACTGCTCTGAATTACAGACTATCTTCTGCCTTATATATGACTACATGAGTTTTAGAGATTATTGTTTTGAAGAAAAAAAAGGCAAATACTATATATTCTGTGTAAAGTATGAGAACAAAATAGTTAGACAAGTAAAATAAGTAGTTTGTCTAGTCAAAACAACACTTATTATTTTATAAATATTTCTTTTATTGCATACTTCAAAGAAAAATATTTTAATTCTGAGTAGACTGGACAGGTGAGTATTAATGGAATTCTTGAATAAAAGAACAGAAAAAAAGTGGAGAGGGTGCCTTAAGGCCGGCTTTTCACATCCCGTATTTTCAAGCCAGTTTGGCCTGTTAATATTACCCAAAACCTCCAAGTTTGTTTAATTTTCATCCATCTGCCAAAGTGCTCCAAGAGATCCCGAAAGCAATCATGATCCAATGTAGCACGCTACAGAAACTGCCCCAACTCAAGGTCTGAAAGCCATGTAGTGGGGCAACTGTACCATCTTGTTGCTCTCCAGCCTCTGCCTTAAGCCACAGCAATTTTCAAATACTTGTACAGGTTGTTATAGAAGTGCAAACGTAGCTATATAGACCACCCCCTCCCCCTGGCTCAACTCTTCCAGCAAAAAGAAGCTGTACTAAAGCGTAATCAACCACATGAGCTTTTTTTATGATAACTTTCATCAGCCAGTAACAAAAAGTAGTAGGAAAGCACTACGGCTGTGCTGCATCACTAAACTGAGTTTCCTTGTAGTGGCAGAGGTCTGTAACAGTCATGTTTTCATTTTAAATTAAGTTTAAAATATTTTAAATCAGTCACAAAAGCTGCACTCAGCACGAAATCAATTAGAATGTTTTAAGAATTTGGGACCAATTTTAATAAAACTTCTGGGTTCTTCCTAGCTCTCAGCCACAAGATTAGCCACTCATCAGGAAACATTTCCAAGTATTTTCTTGCCCTTCCATAGCTGAAAACAAGAATAGGAGATGAGAAGAAATAAAAGGAATTTAAAGCTGCTGAAAACTAATGTCTACCACATGAGGCACAAAATAAGCATGCCATTGTATATTTGATGAAAAAATAACTGTTATGAAATATTCATTTGAAAAGTGATTAAGCTTTGCAATTGAAAAGCTAACCCTTCACAACACGAAATAATCATGCAGCTTGGGAATGAACACATCCTGTGTCCTCTGGTGCTCATTATAATATATGCAACATCTCTACCCCACTACTTCAGTTGCTTAGATGTTTTCCTTTTTTTATTTTTTTTATTTTATTTTTTTTAAATTTGAAATAAAAAGATCACTAGACTTGTTTTTTACAAGCATGCTTCAAACCCAGAGAACCAGATTTACCATTCCCATACATTTCCAGGCAAGGAACAGTAGGTAACACTTTCTCTGAATTACCTGTGGGGGGAAGAAAGAGGCTCCCCAGGCCTCAGCACAGAAGCCCCCAGGACCCCATGCAAAATCCCACTTCCCACTCTGTAGCAGGAAGAAGCTTCTTTCTTCAAAGCTATTAGCAAGTTTACTCACCAGCACAACCTATGATGTCTCTCCTAAGGGTTAAAATGAACAACCTTTCATACAGAATATGCAACCTATTCCCTAAACTATGAGGGATTAATCCACTGAGCAAAAGAAATGTTTTACAATCCCATTTATTTTAACTATATTTCTTCAGGGATATTTAACTTTACATATGAAAGCTATACTTTATACATGGTATACATGCAGGCGCATTATTTATTTACAAATCCCAGGCACAGAAATCATGAGTCCGAAATTTTCCTTACAATGAGTTTCATAATTAGCCCTTCCACAGTCAAGGCACACACAGAGATCAGGGATTATTCATTAGAGGAAGGAATTAGCAGGATTTTAGGCTTCAATGGCCTGTACAGACTATTAGCTTGCATTTGGCTATTAGGCGGGTAAGCAGAGTGGTCTCTAAAGCGTCAGCAACAGATAACAATAAATTCTCAAAATGAGACTTAACACCTGCTTTCCTAATCTTGAAAGGCAGGGGAAAACAAGACAGTTGGGTGGTGACACAGCATCCTTCCAGCCGCACAGACTGCCAGTGTCAGGCCGGCAGCACCCCGACAACTTCCAGCCATGGAAGGCAGAGGTCCCGGGATGAGTGAATAAACCAGGCAGCTGAGACCATGGCAACACCAGGCCCCAGCATCAAAAAACGCCCTCCAGATCTGCATGACAGCGTGCAGGCTCCGACTGCTTCCCTCCGATAGAGGAGGTTTTGAAAATGAAACAAAAGGATGGTACATGGAGCTGGCTTATTTGAGGACTATCAGCTGGTCTACTTCCATCCCTTCCAAGGTCTGGATCAGAGATGAGAGGAACACGGGGATTGTGAATGGCTGATGGATACACAAGCGCAGGTGTGTCCTGTCTATGCATTTTATTTATTCTGAATGCCACCAGCATCCCCCACATCCTGGTAACACAAACCACCAGCCTGGCAACACCAGCCTATCCTTTCCTTTTAACACGCTATCTATTGCTTCAAAACAGACAGGAAAAACGAAAAGCATCTAAAGATGTTCTCTTCCCTTTTGTCTTTTATTAAAGCTAATGCCCTGAGAGATGAAGGACAGAATAATGCCTTCACCAAAAATACAGTGCAAGACCCTCAGGACCACTTTGTTCAGCTACAGCTGGCAAGTAAACACTAGAAAAACCAAGGACTTTTGATTTTAACTTTACTCCCCACTCCTTTGCATTTCCAAGGCATACAGAAATAACTGCATTAAATAGAGCTCCTAGGAACGGAAGTGCTGACAGATAAGCAGCATGAACCCAATCAGTGAAACGTCTCACAGCTTAGTACAACATTTCATCCTCACCTGGATCAGCAAGAGTATTTCAACTGGAATAAAAAGCACCATCAAGAGTGCGACCCTAATTCACCACTACTGCAATTTTCTGTCAGTGTAAGATCAATGATTTCAAAGTAATTACACAGATGTAAAACAAGGATAACTGTGATAAATCAGTCCCAGCACAAATTCAGAGGAACTCTTCCATGCACATGTACAAATAAAAATATTAAGACAAACCATTACAGGAAGACACATCCAATTACATATAATTATAAATGCACATTCTACTAGATCCTAGCGTCCAATGATGAAATGGAGCTATATTTTGTTCCCAGACTGCTTAAACACCATTATTATACCATACACCTGTTTAGGAAAAAAAAAAAAGAGTACAGATTTTTGCAATTTAACAAAGACGAGGACGAAGTAAACAAAATAATACAGTAAATAAAGAAGCAGAAGTTCAACAGATCCAACCTGTCCATGTTAATTTGTTAAAGCAGTAAGTTGATTTCCTACCTCACAAGAAAGGATTCAGAGGAAGCAGGAAAATGAAAGCTTTTCTGAATACTGATCAAACAACAACTTACACCATAAAAAAAAAAAAAGTCCATGCAAAAAAAATAGTTTGTTAAAATTCTGGAAATTGTGAAAATGAGAGAGAAAATTTCAGGGAACATGTGAGATAACAAGAAATGTAAAAAACTGATAGTTTTGTTATTCCAGTAAGACAATGAAATGTCTTCTTTTCTGCCCTTGCTTTTAAAAACAAACTTGAGATTTTTTTTTTTATTTGCATTGTTTTTAGACCTAAGGCTTCATCCAGAACACTATTAATACAGATGAACATTGAGTTTTCCTTTCCTCTCTTCTGGGTTTTTACTCCAAAACTGTGAAGAAAGTGGCTGTTGGTAAGAACAAGGGGCTTACTGCACAATTTTGAGAGGAGCAGACACCTGCACTGTGCAGATCTCTCCACTCCTTGTCAGTGCAGTTCAATCCATGACCCAAAACTCCTCTGCTAATTTCAACCTTGGACCTTACTTGAGCAATGAGTAATAATTTTCTGATGGTTTTTTTGACAGGGACAAAAGGATTCCAGGCGATAGCAAGAAGCTCACTTCCACTTGAGAACTGATCAGACTATTTGAACTCAGCTCTTTAAAAGGTAACATTTTCTCATTATAGAAAAATCTCTGAACATCCCTTTTCAGATCACAACGAAATCATTAGGGCCTGCCACAAAGCCTATTAAAGTCAATGGAAGTCATTCAAAGACTTCAAAGGACTTTGGATCCAGACCTTATGTAAAACATCCAGATGCGGCCCAGCAGCACCTTGCACTGAAAGGAAGGCAGTGCCTGCCCGAGCCAGCGATGCGGCTCCGCAGGACCTTGGTGCAGTCGGGAGAGCTCCGTGCTGAGCGCCTCACACCCGGCTGCACCCTGTTGGAGGGCTCTCTGTTGGCCTGGCCCATGGACCCAGTACCCATGAGCAGCTGGAGTGCATTAGGCAGGCTCCTGGGGCACATTTTGCAGTTTTGTTTCATCCAAAAGGAATCCAGCTCACTCCTTGCCTGCTGTAACGTGAATCAAACGGTACCAGGGCTCAACCCAGACTCGCTTTAAAAGCCTTTGCCCGATATGAACCAAAATGCTCCTCCAGCCCCACTCCAGCATGGGACAGCTTGAGCAGCCACTGAAGGAGCAAGGCCAAGTTTCTGTAAATAAGGTCCCTCGTATTCTGTAAAATAAGGTCCCTAAGAGGAATTGAAGAGGTCTCCAGAAAACTGTGGCCTTCAGGGGCTGCAGCACAGCAAGTGCCCTCAGGAAAAGTAGAGTATAGAGCCAGAACTAAAAAGACAGCTTTTGTTCAGTGCTGACTTCTCAATACCCATCATCTGTACTCATGACGGATCCAGTGCTTTCATATATCATTAAAAATAATGAAATACTACTGTCAAAAAAATTCTAAATCTAGGACTAAATGTAAGCGAGATTTCTTTATATGAGAAGCCAAGTTCAACTTTTTTCCACAGAAACTTCCACAGTCTGGAAATTGAAGATCAACTGCATCACTATGCTACTTCAGGCCTGCACACAATTTTCTGTATTTTTTTAAATGGTTGACTTATAAACAATTCTCAACAACTAAGTTCTCAACAACTCTTACTATGAAGTATCTTAGTGTCATTTAGATCACTGTTCATTGTTAACACTCACGTTTAAGAATAAAAAAATGAAATAAAACAAAATAAAAAATACTTCCCCCCAACACTTCAGCAAGAATATAAACAAAATATTTCAGTGATGTCTTTCTCCAAACTGGCTCCAAACCAGTTTTGTTTTTCTAAAAAGCAGAATTTAGAAATTCCATCTGAGTTATTCTCAATACACAAATAGGCAAACACCTGAAAATTTTAACATACTTTATCCAAACTTATTTTTAGACTGCATATAAGAGAATCTCAGAAAGTCTTCTCTGCTATAAGAAATTATACATATTCCACTGATCAGCCCTTCCCCAAGCTGAAACCACGCTTCATGAAATTTACCAAAAGGAAATTTGTGATGAACGAGAGTGTTTACTGATGTTCAACACTGGTTTAAGTAAATTAACCCTAGAGTAATAACTATTAATTATTTTCATAAAATATATTATTATGTTCTGTACTCTGAGCAATCACATTCTAATTTGGGATACAGCTCCTCTTCTGAGGTATAAAAGCAAACCTAACATAAAAACAGACATATTAGTGTTGTCTTTTCATTTGATAAGTGAATGAAATTAAAAAACAATTTCATTATGGCAGTGCTACAGGAAACAAACACACCAAAAAACCACTAGAGCAAAACCGAAGAAGACACTTAACCTAGTTCTGAAAGGACATATCAAACGAAAAATGACAGTATTATATCACAATTATTAGCTTTAGAAACAAAGCTTTTAGGAGTAATTTCAGTTTTTAGTCCATTACCCTAAATGATGGCATATGTAAGAAGAGCACATGCAGAAATGTAGTTTGAGAAAGATTAACAGATTATTTTAGAAGCAAATCACTCCATAAATAAAGCATAAAGGGAACACAGCATCATTCAGGAATGGACATCTGTCACCCAAGCAGATACCACATCACACATTCGCAGCTTAATTCTGCAAAATGGAAAAACAAGACTTGAAAAAACCACATAGTCTTACATGCATTACATTTATTTTTACATTTCTAGTTACCATAAATATCATCAAGAAGTATAAACAGTACACAGAGAGGAAATTGTAAGAAATAAAATGAACAAAGAACAGAAGAAAAGAAAAAGTCACACGGAGTCAGAAAAATCCAGCCCTATCCTGAGTAGGTCTAGTGCTGTTTTTCTTCTAGTGGGGGAGGGAATGAAGAGGGAAGAAAAGTCACATTCAATGTCATTTTGACAGCGACCTCTTATTCAAAAACTATTATTTTTCCATCTTGAATAAGAGAGAACCAAGTGCTCTTCATAATCACATAAATGACCTACCACTCTCTAAGTGCTCTCTCTTAGATCAACAAAGAGCTATCGGAAGCAGAAAGTATTGCACACTACTCTCCTGTCGTCTCAATCCAAGTCGTCCGCACAGCTCAACCTACCGTAAGAGAAACCTTGAAAGGCCAAAAGCTTTAGGAAATAGACTTATCAGACTACCTCTCCTCCTTGAAGCAATTCTTTTAGAGCTTTGCGGTGTTAAAATTATAAAGACACAGAGAAAAATAAAAGTTACAAGCAAGAGAGGAGAAGCATGATGGGAGTTAACTTTTATTTTTCTACGAGAAGCAACTCAATAGCTTTAAAATGGCGTTTTAAAAGGGTGGGAGGAAAGATTTCAGTTGTCCTTAGAGGCAGAGCATTCCCTAATGCTGCATTTTCAGTCAACTTGTGCAATTAACTAACTTAAAGGTTCTTATTGCAAGGCATGCCACACCAAAATGTAAACTGACCGACTCACACTTCTTCCTCTGGGGGAAATAGAAGAGCCTGTCCCCATAAGGTCAATGGCAAGGCTAAGGATCTTTATTCCAAAAGAAAAGCTATTCCAGGGGTCGGAGGTGTTTGTGTTAGTTGTGTTTTGTTTTGTTTTCAGGGATGAAGGGATAAATCCCATTCATTTATTTGTCTGCAGTTTTTTCCCTATAATTGAACCAGGAAAGTACCCAAAGGAAAAAAAAACCACCAATAACAAAACCATGTCATATGAAAGAAAAAAGTGGGAAAAATCCCCAAACATTTCTTTCAGACTACAGTACTGCCAAACACACAAACATCTCCCAGAAACACTTCGCTGCTATTTTGAAATCCAACTGCAAATTACATAAGTTTAATTAAAAAAGAAGGATGTGGTACACTGAATGACTTAGCAAGCCAGTCCTCAGGTAACTCACAGGATGGAAGTAAGGGGGTAGCCCACAACCCAGATAATCTGCCTTTATTAGTGCAACTGTCCCGAAACATACCACAAACTCCCGTTTCACCTGTGAGGAATGTGACGATCCTACGGCAGGGTACTTTTCCCCCTTGATTCCCCAAAAGCTGCAGTCAGGAGTGATGAAAGCTTACCTTTACCAGTCAGGTCAGCCTGAAATTCTGACTGTGCAAGAATTTCCAGTCATCCATCCAAACCACCTGAAAAGGTGCAAACCAAACTACTTCTAGTAGATGGATTTGCTGGAAAATTCAAATCCTCTCAAAGACAATGGGTGAACCACTTCTGACAAATGGCATTTGCTGAAATGCTCTGCGTTCACAGGCTGCAATAAACTGGGCAGTAACTAAGAGCTGGGGAACAAGGACCATGGCAAGCAGTGGGATGACTCAGAACTCCTTCAAAAACTAAATCCATATATTCACCTCTACCGCTACCATAAAGCATAAGGATTAAGTTTACATTATCAGTAGGAGGAACCAACAGGCCACAATGCTTTCTTCTGTTTCTACCAAGAGAGAATATAATAAGGCACAAAGGAAAAGCAAACACAAGAACACCCTAAGAGAATCCTTGGATCTGACCTTCTCTCCATATTCTCCCTCTGTCATCTTTTTTTTCCCCCCGCTTCCTGCACAGCTAGCTGTATTGCTGACTACAGAACACTTACTGAAGAATGCATAATTACATCTCTTTAACCCCTTGCTGTCTCAGTGTATATACAGTGCTTGGATATAAGGTTATTTTAATGTTCCCCTTCCCCACCAAAAAGAATGAAGAGAATTTGCACAGGCTAGTAACTCCCCAAAAATACAAAAATACCACTGAAATGGTCCTATTGCCAAAGATTCCAACCCATACAAATTAGACCCTCACATTACTTCACCACTAGCTGCTCTCGTGTATTCCTCTCACTACAATTTATCTCAGACTGCTCAAGTATAGACACAGTGAAGTCAATGAAATGCAAGAACACCACCAACAAAAGAACATTTCAGGCCCATTTCAGCTTATGTTCACATGCTTTTCTACATGAATCTTGCAGTGTGCAAGTGCAACAAACTCCTTCACTTCCATCATATCAATCCCTATTCTGGAAGACCTTGAGAACCTACTCTTATGTCAGTGACAGTAATAACTTCCTGTGAATTTTGTTCATCTGATGTCTAAAGAAATAAGCAACTCTTCAAATTACCAAGTTCTTTTGAATTGTTATGGAATTGGTATGCTATCTCAGGCTATAGTGCTTGTGCTTTGCAAAATTCAAGAACTAGCATACTCTGAAACAATGCTTTCTCATGTAAACAGTGAATATGTTTGTAGGCCCTAGCTGCTGCTGGTAACAATGACAAGAATTTTTTCAAAAAGAACTTCAGAAGTACCAGCTGTTGTGTTTTAATGGACAGGAGACCTTAACCAATAAGCATATGAGACCACAGCGGCAAGTCAGATAAAAACGATGGAAGAGCAGAAATTCTGACCTAAAAAAGACTTAAACAAAAAACATTCCACAGGCCATAAGCTAATGAGAATTTGGTGGGGTTTTTTTCTCCAGTTTGTCTCTGCTTCCAGCTAGTCAGAGGAATGGCTGAAGGCTTAGAGCTCTGAATAAAGATATTACTAACCTATGTAACACTGGTTTCTAAATGAATTCTTCTTAATTTATGTATGGTTTGCAAATATATTGCTTTCAGCAAGGCTTCTAGCTGTGCTGAAGGATGCAGTTATAGCTCAGCAGAAGGCTACAAATGCTAGCAAGGAGAGCCATATTTTCTGGTCTCTACAGGTAGAGCATACGCTGCTGTACAACAGTACAACAGCTTTGCTGACGGTCCAAGGGGCTCAAAACGGACACTGATAGAGAGAAACAGGGTGGCAACTGCGTAGAACAGATGTCAAAAATCACTCAACCTAATCCAAGCTCACTGAAATCGGTGAAGGAACCCACTGCAGTAAAGTCTGAACTGGGTCCTCTAAGAATAAGGAAAGGTAGAAAAGCAGAGTGAAATTTAAATTCATTTGGGAATACTGTAGCTGTTGTTCATTCACTAACTTGGAAAAAGTCACCTGTATGGAAGAGATGCTACTGGTGGTTTGAGCTTGGATTTTTCTTCTATGTGGTTGGTTTTTTTAAACAGGTTCTCTAGTCTTTTCTTCTCATTCCAAATCAAAAAGTGGTATCACCTACAAGAAGCCAATATATTCTTTGACTCCCACGGGAAAAGAGTGAAAAAACATACAGAGCTTTCTCATCTGCTATATGTTCTTTTGTGTCATGCATTATTGTAGTTAAAGCTGAACTGGTTTTAGTTAAATTATCTTATGAAAATTGTCATAGTTTGATGAAGTCAACAGAGATATGACAATTACAGAAACAAAAGACCTACACAAAAGATTTTAAAAATAATTGAGAAACTGAAAATACCAGGAACTCTGGAAAAACCTGCAGAATGAATAATTTTAAGTTGTTCTGAATTCTGCAAATACAGCACTATGAAGAACATTGAGTACCAAAATAATTAAAGTTTATCCTCTTTATTGAAACAGTCCATGTTTGAGAATTCATGTGAGTTTTAATGTTTAATTAAGGGATTTAAACCTCGTTTTAAGTGAAAACTCAGTGCAACCTTAACTATGAACCGACGAGGTCACCTCCATAATATATTCATGTTGGGAGATCCAGGACCTGGCTTTTACATAAGTCAGTTACTACAAACACACAGTTCAAATATCAGTCACAAGCACGTGAAAAATCAATTTACAAGGAGATGAAAAAATAAATGTTCTAGGAGATAGGATATGCTAATGAAAATTAGTGTAGTGTGTTTGCTTTTTGTCCACATCCAGGTTTTGGTTTCACATCCAGTGACTGCTGAGACATGTTTATTTAGTGATTAAAAAAGAAAAAAGATTAAGCAGCAACTTTGAAAAGCCCTGTGTAGATAAAGATACGCCTGTTTTAGAAGCAATTAGTAATTTCTTATTCATGGAATGTAAACTGTTTTGCCTAATTTTCCCAGAATTTGCAGATTTAAGGGGAATGCAACCCAAAGGATGAAATTCATACCCAGAAAGCCAGGAGATGAGACTAAGCCTCTAGTCCAGCTATTTAATATATGCAGCTGTACAATACTATATTCACACTTGGAGCACATTTACCCATCACTGCCTTTTTTTATTTTTTAATTTTATTAAAAAATTTAAACGGAATTTAAAAAACACATAAAAGAAAAAACTTTTTAAAATGTATGTTATTGCCACATTCATCATCACTGCAACTCCAGGCTGGCCTGCAACACAGCTCACAGCTGCTGTTGGCCAAGAGTAGATACAAGCCTTGTGCAGATCTTGGGTAGCCAGGGAGCTGGGAAGCCTGTCCATCTGTCATCTACCCTGGAACTCCCCGAGGCAGCAAATATATAAATATATAAAACTCCCTTGAGTTTTAGATGCACCAAAGGTGTCTACAGGAGTCACACGGATGCTGAAGATGGATGTGGTGAGGAGAGCAGGAGCCCTGCACACACAACCTCCCTGCTCGGATACCCAAGCACAGTCTGAAGTCAGCTCTGTAGGTGAAATAAATCTCAGCGTTTTGGTCCACTGTCCACAAGCTGCAAGTCCATCCCACAGGAGGTACCATTCACATCACCACTGCCACATGGCATCAGTGAAAAAAGGACAAAAAATGGGCAATATTTGCCTTATCCTGAGATGTCCTTGGAAGTTTTTAGGACAGAAGGATCTGTGATAGATACAGATGGACAAAGCAAGGTGCCAGTAAGTGCTCCTTAACAACAAATTCACAGTTAAAAAAAAAAAATAGAAATGGGGAGGAAGGGAGTTGGGAGAAAATATGAATTCCGTGTTTGCTTGTTACCCTCCAAGTTTGTAACACAGAGACCATTTGTGTCAGCAAGGATGACTGAATCCCTGTATCCACAGCATTTGACTGCACTCGGATATATGCCTCCTACTAGAGACTAAAATGAAAGCTATATTTTAGAGCACTGGAAAAGTGAAACAAAGCCTGCAGCTTGTGTTTCTAGCAATACTTCTCCTTGTCTAGATGTATTTCACCAGCTCCACATTAACAAGAAAGGTGGCAGACGTAAATACTGTGTCCACAGGAGTCTTCTGGATTTTTTTTGTTTCCCAGTACTTCAACCATGAGGTGCATCTCTTTTGAAGGCTGCCAACAAAAATGCTACATGTAAAGAATATGTGGGGAAAACACTATGGGTAGAAGAGCGAATGGGTGCACAATTAAAAGGCAACACCAAAATACTTCCTCAACCCAAACCCTCCACAATCATATCAAGGCTCGTGTGTGCTGACTTTGGCATCCGCCTCAATTAAATTACAAGAACAGACCAATCTGCATTGCTTTTTAGAGTGCTTCTAAAAAGCGGAATTGGTGAAAAAAAATTTGAAAACAGAAATAGAAAGAAAGCTGTTTTGAACACATTAAATGGGAGTGACCAAATCCGCTGGAGGCTCGGCTCCAAGTTTTTGAAGACAAGATCAAGGAGAGAAAGGGTTAAGTCCTGAAAAATAAAAGAGCAGCAGAGCAAATCTGACTACATGTTTGAAAGGGCCTATAAAATGTTACAAGCAAAACAGGAAAGCTTGTGTTAATAATGCATAAACCAAAGGTGGGGGGGGGGGGAAGCTACCCATTTAATGGAATAATGCTTTTATCCCCGC